AAAGTTTGCTTTTTTTAAACTTGACTTACTTAAAAACTACTTTTATAAAAAGACAAAAAAAATAGAAAAAAAAAAAAGATGTTATTTATTAAACAATTATTTGCAATTTTTTTGAAAAAAATGTTTTAATAACTTAAAAATATTATACTTTTTTTCTTTTTAATAATCTAACTTTTCGATAATTTAAATAAAATTTGTTCAATAGAAGGGTTTTGCATAACTTAAAACGTTTTAAAAAATAAGTTTTTAAGTAATTTATTTCAAATGCAACTAAAAATGTAACAAATAGTAACTTTTGCTTCGAGCTTTTTTATTTTTAAGCTTGTTTATTTTCTTTTTTGTAAGGAATTGTTTGGTTTATTTTTTAGTTTTTTCAATTTTTTTCCTAGATTAAGATTAGCTTAAAGTTTTTTTTTCAGCACATTTCTGAAATGTTTAAATTTAAATTCATTGAAACATCTAAAACAGTTGTGGTCAAGTTGTAAACAAAAAATCATTTGCATGGTCTGCAAATGTTTTTTTTTGTTTACAACTTGCCATTCCTGTCCAAGCCTGAGTGAATATATATATATATATATATTTATATATATATATATATATATATATATATATATATATATATATATATATATATATATATATATATATATATATATAAATTTATATTACATTTATATATATATATATAAATTTATTTTGTATAATTTAATTCCCGTCAGTCAAAAAGTTCGATTACTTTTTAAACTGATTGGACACTCTGAGGTTTTTGCCGGACAATATCTGATGTCCGAATGTTAAATTGAGTCCTGTATATATACATATATACGTACACATTTTAATTTTTCTGCATTGGTTTATTGAGCTTTTTTCTTTAGAATATTAAATATATAAAAAAAATTAAAATAGTTCAGGAAATTTCAATAATTCCAAGTTCCTTCAATTGAAGCAAATATATGATTGTTTATAGAGGTTTTCTAATATTAGTTTTGTATTTACTTATTTATTGTAAATATTGTATTAAATGTGTTTCAAAGTAATGAAAAGGATTTTATGATAAACATTTCACCGTTCAATGCTAGCAGTATTTGGTGAGCAGACAAGCCTTATAATTTTTTCAATTTGCTTTAATTATGAGTTCTTATCTGTAAAAATTTATAACTTTTTAAATTACTTTTTATTGTTTTTTTGATTAAATACTAATAATATTTTGTCAATAATTAATAATAATTACCATAAATATATAACATTACTCAGTTTTAAAGATTACATCAATTTATTTATAACTTTAGTTTAAGTTCTTGATAGAAATATGTATCTTTACACATTGCTATATTATTTGAAAGTATCTAATTTAAATATGGTAGAGTATAATTAGATTATTATATTATGCTCTGTTTTATATGCTTACACTTTATTTTATATAAGTTTAAAAAAAGGAAAACTAAAAGTTTAATCTAAAAATAAAAGTTTAAATTTTATTATATTAACCATTATTTTTACACACTCCTTTGATGCTTCATCATGTCTGATAAATTAAGAAGTGAAATTATTAAACTTCATCAAAATAAAAGAAACCAGGCTTGGCGAGATGAATTGAGATGTGCTTAGGGATAATTTTTTGTTAAAATGAAAGAGATGAGCCAGGCAAGCCGATATAAATTGTCGCCGAATTGAAAGAAATAAGCCTAGGCGAACTGAAATAAATTGTCATCAAAATGAAAGAAATCAGGCTAGGCAAGTTGAAATAAATTATCATCAAAACAAAAGAAATCAGGCTAGGCAAGTACTCAATAGATATAATAGGTATAAATGCATTTCAAAGTAATGAAAGTGTTTTTATGATGGACGACATTTTATTGTTCTTTGCAGTACTTGCAGAGCTGACAGGCCTTATAATTTTTTATTTGCTATATTCATGAGTTCTTAAATGTAAAAAAAATATTTTTTAAATTATATTTTATTGTTTTTTTGATTAAATACAAATAATATTTTGTCAATAATTAATAACAACTACCTTAAATATATAACAATACTCAGTTGAAAAGATTATATCAATTTATTTATAACTTTAGTTTAAGTTCTTATTAAAAGTATGATATTTCAACACTCTGCTATATATGGTAGAATATAATAAATTATTATGATATGCTCTATATTATTTGCTTACACTTTATTTTAGATTTTAGTTTAAAAAAAAAAACTTCAACTTTTATAATATTAGGTATCATTTTTACAAATTCCTTTGATGCCTAAATTATGTCTGATTATTATTAATATAAGGAAACTAAAAGTTCAACTTTTATTATATTAAGCGTCATTTTTAGACACTCCTTTGATGCCTAAATTGTCTGATAATTGAAGAAATGAAATTATTAGATTTTGTCGAAATTAAAAAAACCAGGCTAGGAAAGCTGAGATAAACCAGCATAGAAATAAAAGAGGCAAGCTGAAATAATTTGTAATCAAAATGAAAGAAATCAGAGAACTCAATAATATGCATCGCATCACAAGATATATTGCTACAGAGAGTATCTACTTTGGAGAATTAAACCATAATTTTCAGTATTGTGATGTGAAGAAGTTTTTAAATGAAACTCATTTTTTGTGTTGCTTTTAGGAAAAGTTGTATTAGCTCCACTTTCTCCATATCCACCATTTTTGATTGATTTAATGATCGGAAACAATGTTGATCATGCTGTCAATCAAAACTTTTTTAAACACATAAGGAGTTATAATTCCTCTATATATTTTGCTTCTCTCACAGCCAAAATAGCTCCTTCTTCAAATAAAGACCCTTTATGTTTTAGGGTCTGTGGGCAAACTTTGCATTGTGTTGAAAATTTAAGGCCTGAAGAAAGTGTTTTGAAGGCGATTTGCCCACATATTGTCAGTTATATATCTATGACCCTGGTACCTGGTACCAGAACCTGGTAATGATGGTTGTATACATGAGTTAATGCAACTTTTACAAATTTTAATTTATCTAGAAAACCCATTTGCTCTTGTATTTAAAAACATGGCAGAAGTAGAGCATAAAGAAATTCACCAAGCAGTTGTAGAAAGTAGACCAACTTCTTTTGTCAAAACATCTTTTTTGTCAATTTTATCTCTGTCTGCAAATTTAGATCCTATGGTATATCCAATATTTTTCCTAAGAGGTGATGCTGGATGGCACAATCAACTGGAGAACAACCCTGACTGTGCAACTCTAGTTAGAAACAATGTTACCTTGTCTCAATATTATAATTATAGGCTTGCAGATAGACAAACTTTTACTATATTCTATGATAAGAAACTTTTTCAGCAATATTCTATTGACGCATATGTCAAAATCGAAGGACAACACCTTACTTTTATCAAAATAACCAAAACAAACTTGGAAGTAAATAACACAATGCATTGCATGAACATGTAATTAACCGAGCTAATAATCTTAATGTAAGACCAGGCTGTGTTGTTACAATTCCTCCTTCATATGTTGTAATCCAAGAGCACTAAAAGAAAATTTTGAAGATGTGATAGCAGTCATAAAGAAATATGGTAAAGAAGATCTTTTCATTACTTTTACCTGCAATCCAAAATGGAGAGAAAATTTAAACCCGATCCAAAGTGCTAATGACAGCTCTGATTTAGTTTGTTGGGTATTCAAAATGAAACTTAAATCTAAATTTAAATTTTTCTACATAGAATAATTTAAGAAATGTTTTGAATGTTGATCGCTTTCTAAAAGCGAAAACGAAGTTTCATTCATAGAATTTACTAAAGTCTATATAAAAATGAATCAATGTTATTATTTAAATTTCTTTTATAAGCATTTTTAATACAACTTTATGTTAAATATATTTTTTTGTAATTTTGTTTTTACAAAAAATTTTTTTTTGTAAAAACAAAATTACAAAAAAATATATTTAACATGAACAAAATTACAAAAAGAAATATCAAACAAATAGAACTAACTTATATGACATAGCTTTAATGTGACCTAATGTGGATTCATGACTCGTTTCTGTGTCTTCCTTAGCTTTTGAGAGGGCTTAAAAATATTCATTAAAAAAAATTTTATTACAGCCTTAAACTTAAAAACTTTTATCACAGCCTCCAAAAACACTATAAGAAATGTTATGTAACTGTCATCTCTGTTAAAGATAAATTAGTATAGTTAATTGTTAACCAAAAGCCAAGAATTTGAAATCAATTTATTTTCTACTGTAAACTAAGATTTATTGAAGTAAAGAGAGCAAATTAAATATGGATGTAGTCGGTTTGGAACAGTAATCATCGTATCGGTTTTGACAGCTCTTTGTAAAGTATAATAATTTTTTGTAATTTTATTTTTGAAAAAGTCGGTATTTTTATTTAAACTCAAGAAAAATATGTTTTTTGCTTCTCACATAAAATTGTATATTTTTTTCTTTTTGAAATTATTACTTTGTATAGATATTTTTAACAAAAGAGTTTCTATAAAATAAAGTCAAACCAATAGAGCTAACTTATTTGACATAACTAGGATCCCTGACCTATTTTTTGTGTCCTTTTATAGTTTTTAAAAAGATTTTAACAAGAGGGTTAAAAAAAAATTAATTTATAAAATTTTTTGCTAAAACCTTAATTTTCTAAAACATCGGGAGAAATGTTATGCAACTTTCATCTATGTTAAAAATTATTGAAGTAAATAAGTATAGTTTTAAAGTATAGTTTTGAATTAAATAAAAATGATGAAAAGTTTTTTTTTATAATACAGTTAGGTTATTGCAATATTAAAATGAAGTTTATTTTTTATTTTTAAAATGTAAATACTGCAAAATTTTGTTAACTCGATTAAAAACGCATTATGTAGCATGGAATTGCTGTATAGATGTACACACACACACACACACACAATAATATTCAATAAAATAACAATAAAAATAATGAAAAATAAAATTAACAACAATGTTTAATAAAACTAATAAAAACAATATATACAACAACAATAATATACAACAAAACAAAAAACACACCTCTCCATCAAATTTTGCATACATTTGAAAAGGATTAGCACTAACATTCTGAGAATCTTTAACAAGTTGGCTCAACAGTGAATGGGTATTTACAATGTGGTTTGGAACTGTTTTATCTGCAAACATTTCTTCTTTATCTTTCTCTAAAAAGTAATCTCAGTATTTTCAAATAAATCAAATCGTATTTTTATTATTTTTATTAAACTAATTGAAATAGGTACCAAGATCAATGAAGTAGTCAATAAAACTATTGATGGAAAGTTCAACAGAATGATCAACAATGCCTCAATTACTGAGTACTTAACAGTATGTCACCAGTACTGAGTACAAAGTAACTGGCTACTAGTACGTGATACGACAAGTGGTCAGTTATCAGCATTGAGTACTAGTGCTAAGTTACTACTAATTCAATACAGTTACCACTTAGTTACCAGTAGTTTAGTAGTTTTTATAAAGAGTTTTTTAGTTTAAAACTAAAAAACTCTTTATAAAAAAAAAAATTAAAAAATAAAAATCAAGATTACCAGTCATGCTCTCTGTATTATCTTTCCAAACAATGGTTTTAGTTTGATATGGTTTTAGGCTAAATAATATTAGCTAATAAATTATAGCAAAGAAAAGGAAATAATAAAAAGAAAATAAAAATAATAAATAATACATATAATATAAATGTGTGTGTATATATATATTAGGGTAGTCCAAATTTTACATATTATTTAAAATGCAGACTCCACAACCCTAAATGTGTTCTATATAATAACATAATACTGGAGTTGAAAAATCTTTGAAAAAAAAATTTTTTAGGGGTAGCAATAGTCTTTAAAGCATCAGACAGGCCCCTAATATTTTCAAAAAAAAAAAGTTCCTCAAAAGTATATTATATTTAGTCTCAAAAGAAGTGAAATTTCATAAAAATTTCAAAAATAATTATTATTTTATATAAAGATTAAGAAAGTTTAAATTTTATGGTTTAAAAACTACAAATTTTTAACAAAAAAAATAAAAGTACATATTTTCAAAAGTTTTTTTTTAATAAACTTTTTTAATTTGCGTTTTTATAAATTGTTTTTATTACTTTGAAATTTTTATAAAATTTCACTTCTTTTGAGACCCAACTTATTATACTTTTAAAGAACATTCTTTCTTGATAATATTAGGGTCTGATATTTTAGAGACTATTTGCTACCCTAAAAATTTTTTTTTTTTCGAATATTTTTTAACTCCAGTATCATGTTATTATATAGAACACATTTAATTTCCCTTTGAAATTAAGTGTAAAATTCGGACCAACCTTATATATATATATATATATATATATATATATATATATATATATATATATATATATATATATATATATATATATATATATATATATATATATATATATACACACAACTATTTGTTTTAATTAATTACCCCATTAATTAATAATTAATATTTTTTACGATAGAAAGACAGAAAAACAACTTGCAAAAAAAAAAATTTTTTTTAATAATTTTTTATATTTAACTTTTATTTAATAAGTTAGTAAATAATTAATTAATAAATAAAAAACAATAATGAAATGTTAAAATACAATCAATCGTTCTCATAAAACAATATATAAAAAACTGTTATATATTAAATAGTTGTTTTATAAAAACGAATGATCATAATTATTTTATTATAAAAGTTCATTCATTTCTCTTCTTCGTGAATGAAAATGTCATCATATATAAAAATTTCTACAATCGCTTTATTTACAAGTAGTGACAAATCATTTAAAAAGACTTTGGTAATTAAACTTCCAATAGTTAGATACTTGTAAAGTTGAGATAATAGTTTTTCAAAGGTACACTGCAGCTTTTATCGCTTGCTTAGAGTTATTAGTGTGGTTGCGCAAAATGTGTTGGTTGTGGGACTTAATAATAGTACTAATTATTGGCATGCAGCTATAATTTATTTTGGAGGTGTTTTTGTTAAATATTGTGTAGCTTGTGGTGTGCTGGGAAATGTTGATTTAGTTCAAAAAAAGGTTTCCTAATTTGGTGACAACTTTCTTACTAAAAGGGGGATTAAACCATATGATATTTTGTTTGCGTTTATTAGTATGGCAATTAGTTTTTTGTAAATTTAAATTAGGACAATATTGGATATTGCTGCTGTGTCTAGACTTTATAAGGGCTTTTTTGTAAATAGGAGATAAGTTTTCAAAAATTAGTTTGCTGGAGGAGTTTGATGATAATCTATGTTCAATAGAGGTTGGCAGATATAAATTAATGTAAATAAAGATGGATATAGTTTAACAAACTTTCAGGTTTATGGTAAGGTTTGAAGCTGAAGTCATTGTATATACATATATATATATATATATATATATATATATATATATATATATATATATATATATATATATATATATATATATATATATACATATATTTATATATATATATATATATATATATATATATATATATATATATATATATATATATATATATATATATATATTAGGGGTGTTCAGAAAAAAATTTGCAAGATGCAAATACACAAGAAGCCAAACTTGGAGCAAATACAAAAAAATCTGATTACAAAAAAAAAATCTAAAAATATTAGCATTTATCTTGTGCTCAAGCAACAAAACAACCTGAAAAATGCTTCAAATCGTTCCTAAATTATTTGGCTTTGACTGCAAGGTAAATCTCAATATTTTGTAAAATTTTATTCCTAATGTTACCATAACGGTCAAAATTGTTATTTAAATTAAAAAAAAGAACTTTTTTTTTGCATATTAGCGCCAAATTCTTTTTTGATGAAGCCTTTTTTTAAATTTAAACAAGGATTTTGAAAAAACTTGGTTACGCAACAATCTAAAAAAACTGCACTCATTTACTCTCGCAGAGGCCTGTCACATTATTGCTATTACCCATCATTCTGCACTTCATGGTTTGAACAGGTTTCCTATTAGTAAAAAAAAAAAGGTTTCCATATTAGTAAAAAAAGAGCAGCCATGGCGCAGTGGTAGCGCAATTGCCTCAGAAACAAAGAATTCATTGTTCAAACCCCACCTCTGGAAAAATTTTGCGACATCGGTGAGAAAGGAGGCATGAACTTCAAATTAAATGCTCACCCACGATAAAACCCTGTGATAAGACCGTAAGGACTTGGGACACCTAAATAAAAATTTAAAAAAAAAAAATAATGCTATTTTCTTATTTAAATATAAAATTATGGAAGAGATAATGACTTTTTTTACAACCTTCCTGGTGTTAACCTGTTTTGCAGATCAATACTATTGAGTATTGTTATTATAATACTACCACTAGAAGGAGTTACCATCCAGAGTCTACCATACCAAGTTTACCATCCAGAGTCTACCATACCAAGTTTAGGAGCTTCTTCTACCCTTACCCATAAATAAACTAGAGGTTTTATATCAGAATTTTTCTTCTCCTAGGTAATTTGTCTTTACTACAGTTAAAGAACTCTTGCTTTATTAAATGCTTTGCCTCACCTTAACCTGGACTCTAATACACAAACCTTGACAAACAAGGTCCTATATTTATACTCTGTTGGTATTTAAATAATATTTTACATTATTTATATTTTAATATTGTTTTATGTGGTAAAAAATATATATAGAATATTTGTGTTGTTTAAACTAGACTATGCAATGAAATAAAAATTTAGTATTATATTTTATAAAATACCTTTTTGCAGCTTTATCTGTGCTTTCTATTTTTGGTGTACGACCATAAAGTCCAGGACTCACTGAAATATCAAATGACTGAGCAAAATTTGAATAACTATTTCTAAAACAACAAATATAAATAATTAACAATACTTTAATATATATACAGTTAACAAATTCCTGTTTGGCATTCGACTATGCCGATGCAAAAGGCGATCTATTTTTGCTTTATATTAGCATACAACTGCCGACCTGAATTTCTGAAAGTATTGTCATGCAAAAATAAATATATGTGAAATATATATAATATTTGTTCAATATGAGTTCATAATTTATTTTTTGTAATTATTTGTTTTTTTAAGCTGACAAGTTTTATTTAAAACAAAAATTCATTCTTTTTTTTTTTAATTTATTTTTCTAACGCCTGTTGTTCTCACGCTTTTTTTACAAGAAATTTTAATACAATTATTCTGTTAAGTTTTAAAATCTAATATTCATTTATTTTATTTATTATTATTATTATTAATAGAAAAGTTTAGCCTTCGAATAGTGATACACATAGAGTTGCGAAAAAATGTACTTTTTTCCTCATGCATTTTGTTGGTTCAAAAGAAATTTTTTTTTTTTTCTGGCATAAATTTTGGAAAAGTTTTCCTTTATTCTAGTATATTTTTAGTATATGATCATTAAAAGCACAATTACATGTATAAACACCAATTTTACTTATATTTTTAATTAAAAATTAAATTAGCTATAAGTTAGTAATAAAGATATGGTATGGGAATGTTTATTTGTCATGTACTTCCTAACAACTACTTCCTAAATACTCTCATTATATATAGAAATTACTCCTATCCTATAGAAAAGTTAGCATTCTCATTTTGATATGAGTATTAATACCATACCAATTTAATAGCAGACTTCAAATGCTCAAAGAAATAAGCTATCTACCAAGATAGTTTATTTCTTTGAACATTTGTATATTACATTTTGTAATTTAGTCTTACATTGTTTTTTTGTCATGTTTGTCAAAAATATATCGCTAGTAGACGCTTATAAAAAAAGACCATATACTGTACTTAATTTCAAACTATTATTTCTTATTTTAATCTCCTCATAAATGACACTTTTATTTTCTTTAAAAATTCATCAATTTTTTCTGGTGTTGACATCATGTTAAACATGTTAAACAATTTATTTTACAATTCAAACAATTATTATACAAAACATGTTAAACAAATTATTTTTTACTTAATCAACGTGTTACTCCTTGACTTTAGATATATTGAGAAATTTATTTGAATAGTGTTAAACAATGGACTTTTAAGTTAAGCTTATTTTTTAAAAGGTCTAATTTTAAATTTATCTTTGAGTAGACTAGGTTTCGCGCTTGTAAAAAGTTTGCAAATTTATTTATTGGTACTAAAACATCAGCCAGTAAAGCCAGCTCCGCATCATACTTCTCATTAACATCAAGGCTGTTACTTCTCATTAACATCAAGACTGTCTTCTCATTAACATCTTCTCATTCTCATTAAGGTACTTCTCATTAACATCAAGGCTGTCTCATTGCATCAAGGCTGTTAATAACTTGTTCAAATCTTGAAACGAGTCATACTGAAGAAGCGCCATGAAATAACCAACGCATTGGAGCAGCTTTAAGTAACTTTGCTGGTTTTAAACTGTCAGCATTTTGTGCTGCATCAAATATTAATGCCTTTATGCTAGAATATTTCATTGCTTTCCAAACTCTTAAGGTATTAGCACCAACGCTAACTAGGACATCAAATTCTTTCATTAAGTGTACACACACAAGAGCTAAACAATGACAACGACAGATAATGTTCATTGAGTGGGGAGAAATTTTTTTTAGCTTAGCTTGTAAACCATTATGCACCCCACTCATTGTGTTAGCTCCATCAAAACCATGGAAGCGCAGTTGCTGGATATCTATCGATATAGATTTTAAAACTAGTTGTATTTGTTCATATAAAGTCATCCTTTCTTCCAATAATTTGGACTAAACCAAGAAATATTTCTTCAATAGTATGAGAATCAGAATCAACATATCTAATAAAAGCAGAAAAGACAGTCCTATCCGCCACGTCACTTGTCTCATCAGCAAGAACACTAAAGTCATGGGCCACAATAATTTTTGTGCAAACCTCATTGTCTAATTTATCACTTATTATTTTGACGAACTGGTCAACAGTTGATGATGTGTATGTCGCTCATTTGCTAGCAATTTTAAAGTGTGAATCTATCTCCTTATCGCCAAGATCTCAAATAAGTTCAACAATATCACTAAAGTTTTCCCGGACTGCCCAGTTCTTTTTAATTTCAAAGCAAACAGTTTTAAAAAACTTTTTTATGACATTACGGTTGTGCTGTTTACCCGCAATTCTGAGTGGCCATCAACCATCTGATTTTATACAGTTCCTTTAGTTGAAAGTATTTTTTTGACCTGTTGACATTTACGGCAGTATCCTGATGTCTCTTTGATTTTTGATGTGCAATAAATGTCCTTTGTGGATGTTCAAAAAGCTTTACACTTTTAGTTCTCCACACTTCTCCAATATCCCCATATTCTTTACAAATACTACACAACCAACCTTGATCCTTTGCAGAATAAATAGCAAATGGAAATATTGTTTCCCATTTTTGCTAAGATTGGTGACACATCATGTACATATGTCCATATAGTAAATTTTGCTTTCATTTGTTCTTGTTTCAGGAATTAACTGCTGATCTACCTCTTCTGGAACTTGTTCTGTGTTTTGTTTTGTAGTTTGTTTAACAGCAAATGCTTCAAAAATTGACTTTTGTCCAGAATTTGCTTTGTTATTTTTACTGTGTAAAGATCTGTATGTGGTCGAATTTTTGTTGCGGTTTCTACAAGATGTCTTTGGTTGACCCATATTACATAAGTTAAATGTACTATACAAACTTTTGCAAACAAATTTTATTAATTAAAGTTTATAAAAACAAAACACGTTATAGCATAGCAAGGTTGTTAATTCATACATAACACAGGCATAGCAAGATCACTCATTCATTCAAAAGTTAATAACTTTTTTTTTCTTCTTCTCTTACTTATTAAATCAAGTTTTTTGGCGTTATTATTTTATTACGTTTAAAAAAGTTTTATTTATTTATTTTATAACTTAAACCAGTTTATTTACATTTTTGCTGCAATTTTACTATTATTTAAAATGATAAAGTTTAAAGCTTATAGAGTTTAATCAAATTGTAAATTATAGTTATCAAAATGTAAGCGGAGGAGAAACTCATTTTATGTATATTTTTTTCAACTTATTTTTTTATGAAATAAATTATAAAAATATAAAATGCGTTTCTTATTTTAATCCAATCAAAACGTGCATTTTACATTTTAATTCAATAGTAACGTATTCCATATTTCATCCGCATGAATTTGAATTAGACATTCTGATTGACTTTAAATACATTATAACCTGTTTTAAAAGTGGTTTGCAAATGTTGCTTTTCTAAACGACATAAAACAATTTTGTAATTATGACAACAAATTTTAATATTTTATGTAAAAAAAAAAAATAAAATAAAAAAAAATTCTCAGTATTTACCAACTATAAGTTTGGGCAAAAATTTGGGCAGAAATTTGGGGGCCCAAACTGGTATACCCATATTAAAATCAGCCTGGATGCGATATATATATATATATATATATATATATATATATATATATATATATATATATATATATATATATATATATATATATATATATATATATATATATATATATATATATATATATAATCATCGGAATTAGGAAAAACAAAGTCGGCAATAATTTACTGACCTTAAACTGTTAGAGGTCAACAAAAAAAAATGAAATAAATGATGTATCATAAAAAACAGAAATGAGGTCAGCAATTTTTTGGCTTACAGAGGTTTATAAATTTTAACTCCAACAAAACTCTTATTTACAAACAACAATAGCAATACTGTGGACATCCCTATATGAATGAATGGCAACAACCCTCTCTCACTGAGTCCTATTCTTTATGTTTTCTTGGATTATTGTTTACAATTGACCTTTCATGTGAATTATATATACAACTGATTGCTAAATTAGCAATCAGTTGTATATATAATTATATATATATATATATATATATATATATATATATATATATATATATATATATATATATATATATATATATCAAATATTAAATGTAATTAAATATAAAAAATGTAAATAAACAATGTTAATTGTGTCAACCAATAAATTCAAAAAGATGGCACTGTTGAGTCTTTTGGAAAAGCAATCAAAAATACTTGGCAAGCTTTTTGACTATGCTGATTTTTTGGTACTTTTCAAATGTTCTTACTGGTGGTAATACAAGTGGACTAAAGACTGAGTTATTTGAAAGGCTAAAGTGTAATTGGAAATCCATTCTTGAAAAGAAGATATATTATGATAACCTGAAGAAATTTGACTCCTTCTTGACTACTCTTTTGGAAAAGCAGGTTGGTTTGATTGTCTAAATTAGATTAATATGCTTGACTAAAGTTTTAATAATATAGTTTTTTTATAAACATTTAAGCTTCTGAATCATTAATATTTCTTCAAAATTGCCTCAATAATGATGTCTCCATGACTACAAGTATTTTATATAATTAGCAGTTCTTTGGTGGCAAAGTAAAAGACTTTCACCTTAGATTCCCGATGACTTCGCATTATGCCAGGCTTATGACACAGAGAGTTTATTATTTAACATATGACCTTCTTCAGCCAAAAATCAGTAGCTTATGTCCTAAATCGATAGTTCATTGTCTTTCAAACAACAAATGAAAAAACTGGGCTGCAAACTTTAAAATACGTAGAAAATAACTTGTTCAAACCCCCTCCTACACATCCCAAATATACATAACATGTATTTAAATGGGTAGGACTGACCATTTCCATAATCTTTTGCAAAAAAACAAAACATAAAATTAAAATCAGATATATCAGAATATAACTCTTATAACCTCCATATGCGGCAGTGGTGTAGTGGTAAGAGCGCTCGCTTTGTAAGCGAGAGGTTCGGAGTTCGACTCCCACCACGTCCCTGGAAGTACCGCGCTCAACTTAGTTTCTCCGCGCAGCGGCCTTGCTTGTCAAGGTTCGTGTTTCGGAGTTAAAGAGTTGAGAGAGGGTTGTACCACGAAATACAACAAAAAAATAAAAAAACACAAAAAAAAAAAAAAGAGTAGCCTCCTCGACTGTAGTGGCCCCCTCGGGCCTTGGGGAGGTGAATAATGTAAAAAAAAAAAAAAAAAAAAAAAAATATGTACAAAAATTAGAAATTTTTGTAATTTGAAACTGATGGGACCAACCATAGAAGTATATATACATTAAAAATAACATGTCTGACATCACATAGAAATAGCCTGCTACTAGGCCTAATATATACTACTAGCCGGCTAGCCTAAACTTTATCAGGCTTGGTCGGGAACCGGGTGCGATTGCACTCGATAACTGACCACGGAAATAATATTTAGTTGCAAAAAACCGGCCAGATTTTTTAGTCGTTTTGAGAACATTTAAGTTCACGTATGTTTCCTTGTTTGTCCACAAAATAATTATTAAGTTATCGTAAATCTTAGAATATTTTGTATTACCGACTTACACGGAAACAAACTCAAATGTTCTCAAACTTTGTGCGGAAAAAAAAAAATATATATATTTGCGAACACAAAAAACCTGCTAAATCTACAAACAACTAATTCTATTGGTTCAAAAAATGCTAGCGGAAATTTTTAGAGTATTCAAAAAATACTAACTGAATGTTCTAGAGTATTCTGTTGAATTATTTTAAAAAGTTGTATTACTTGAGTTTTGTTATGTTTTCGTCAAGATTTCTAGCATAAATTGTTTTAACAAACGAACTTTTATTTTAATACTATCTCATTCTCGAAGCCACATCTTTAAAGCTATAAATGTTTTAAACTAACATTAATTGTTTTCAAAAATAAATGTTTTAAATTTATGTTTTTAAGTTCTAAGAAAGAAAAGTTTTTAAGTTCTTAGAAATTGGTTAACTAACTTCAATTATTTTTGCTTCAGCCATTCTTACAAACTCGTTATACTTAACTCTTTTCTGATTTAAATACTAATTAAAGTTATAAAGCCCACTCACTAAACATTATCAGCGGTAATGTGAAGCTGTTCCGCTTCCTACTCACTAAGTAATTTAACTTTTTTAGTTAATTTCTATCTAGTTAATTGAATTTCTACAGTAACTCAATGATTTAATTATTTCATTTGTTCATCTTACAAAAAGAATAGTTTCAAATGTGTTAAACTTTTCTAACTACGCGAAGCTTAAAACAGTTATTAAAAAAACCTTTTTATTTATAAATAAATTATCTAGCGTTAATTTTTACTGGTTGAATCTTGTTGGACTTTTCAGGGCCGCGGGCTGCATTATTTTAGTGGCATTTATTATGTGCCACAGCGTAAAAATGATTAAAAAAAATACAGAATGGTCCTTTTGACTACTTGGCAGCCTCTAACATTGTGAGTCCCGGGGCTAAAGCCTTTCTACCCCATCCCCCTCTCCCCCACCTCCTCAATCCAGCACTGGAAATAAGACATAAGTATATAAATAAAAGTTATATACTCGTTGATAAATTAAAGAACATTTGTTTCCTTATTAAACAATCATTAATAGTAAGTTGTTACTTTATATAAAAAATGTCGCCTGATTTTATAAAAAAAATATAAAAGAACGACATTTCAAAAATATTTGCTTTAATCGTATTTTTTTACTTAAAGTTTTTTTGCGTTAAAAGCTTTTTTCTTTTTTTAACTGTCTCTCAACGGTCCAGTTAATCTTGTTGCGCTTTTGTCTGTTTTTGAAATGTTCTCAAAACGACTAAAAAATCTGGCCGGTTTTATGCAACTAAATATTATTTCCGTGGTCAATTATCGAGAGCGATCACACTCGCTTCCCGACTAAGCCTGCTATATATATATATATATATACATATATATATATATATATATATATATATATATATATATATATATATATATATATATATATATATATATATATATATATATATATATATATATATATATATATATATATATATATATTGGTAATACACTTTAAAATTTTTAAATAATAAACATTTGATTTTATAATTATATGTGTATATATATATATATATATATATATATATATATATATATTCAGACTTCTTTTTCACTTCTATAAGTCTAAGGAGGGCCACTACAGTCAAGAAAGCTATTTACTTTTTTTTGATGCTGTGTGTGTTGCCTCTGGCTAAAGTCTAGAAGCATGCTGTTTGTGTCCTTAACATTTAAACAATAAATTAAGATGCTCTGTTTAATATACAGGTCTTAAAAAAAAAAAACAGGCAAAATTTTTATTATATTTTTGTATAAATAATAAACATTTGATTTTATAATTATAATTATTTTGAAAAAAAACATTGGTAATACACTTTAAAATTTTTTTTATTGATGAAACAGATTATTATTTAAATTTTTTTACACACATACACAAATAGAAAACAACTTTTTAGTTTAGTTTTCTATAAATAAATAGAAAAAACTTTAAAAATGAAGATAGTAATGAAAAATGAATATAAAAAAAAAGAAAATTTAATGATAGTACCCTTCTTCATTGTTTAGCTTTCCTAAGCGTTTGTTCTGTTTTGTTATAAAAGCATCTTCTTCATCTTGAACAATCACCATTTCACACATTCCTAAAAATAAATTTCAATATAAATATGATTTTTAATAAAATACACAAATACAAAAATACCGATACAGAGTAATGAGAAACTACATGAGAAGATACTATCAGGTGGACACAGAAAAATCCGGTCAACTTTAATTTGAGATTTCTCCAAAACCATAAATACTTTTTATCTAAACTTTTTTTATATTAAATGTGTTTATATCAATTAGGGTTTCAACTTAATTTTAAGGGGCTTGATGAGCTGCTTGTCAAGAGATCGAATTTTATAGCAGACTGATGCCATCATTTTGCAGATTTTTTCTTTTTTCACCTTATTTGTGGCATTATTCCACTTTTTACAGAAGTCTTTTCTTTTTTTGTTACTCCACCTGTCTTACAAAAAACTATTGCCAAAAAATCTTCAATCTTGCGCTCTTTAAGACAGATTAGAGGATTTGCATCTTCAGCAACATTTTCACATTATTATCTTTGCACCACTGTAGAACTTTTTTATAATAGTAAGAAGCAGCAAGATCTGGCCAATAGAGACATTGGTATTTGTGTTTTTTCATAAATGGCAAAATTCTTTTTTGGAAGCATTCTTTGATATAGAGATTGGCAGTTAAGGTCTTTTTAGTGACAAAACAAGAGGACTGTGTACCACAGCTACAAATTGTTTGCCATACAAGGAACTTAGATTGATCATCGACAAGTTTATCTTTGTTATCATAATAAAATTGTTGACCAGGAAGTTTACAACTTCCTCGTTGTCTTTAATTATGCACATACTTTTATCCACCATTACTTTAACCAACTTCTTTGCATGTCGAATTCTTTTAATTTCACAATTTAAGCTTCTCTTAGTTGTATTTTTTTTATGAAATGTTTTAATTCCAGCATTTTTAAGTACTTTTTTGAAATAAGAACGTGAAGTCTTTTTATTTTTTTTGCTAGATCTTGCTGTGACAAGAAATCTTTCTTGCTATTGAACTGAGAATCAACTTTACCTTTTTGGATTTATGGAATATTTTCTTTCTTCCACTTCCAGGTTTTCTTTTGAAGCTTAGAGTAGTCTTAAACTTATTTATAATATCGATGACTGTAGATTTTGGAACATTTGTACATTTAAAAAGTTGATGGATTTTTGCAAAAAAAATTCACAACTTTTTTACACACCTTAATTTGTTTCCGAAATATTTTGCAAATCATTGACTTATAAACAAAAGTTTATCATCACAATTAAAGATAAGTTAAGTATTAAAGATAAGATAAGTAACAATAAACAAATAACGTTTAAAGTAACAATTAAAGATAAGTAATGTTTAATTACAAAAATAAAAGAAATAAAAAGCATTTGTGGTTTTAGAGAAATCTCAATTTAAATTTGACCAGATTTTTTAATGTTCACCCGATACATTGGCGAAAAAGTTTAGAGAAAACCACAGAATGCCATATTCAATACAAGATGTTGACAGGACTGGATTTACCTATAGACTGTCTAGGCAGCATCTTAGGGCCCTACAATTTTCGGGGCCTAGAAATGTGTTCAAAAATGTTTGCAAGGGTTTTTAGGGAGTTATTAAAAAATATTACTTTCATAACTGTAATAATTGCTAAACAACAATAATTCCTCTGGACAATTATTAACATTTGGTAAAGTTCTATTTGAACAATCAACACTAAATTAATTCTGCACGAAGAAATTCTAGAAAAAACCTATATAAAAGCTGTAGTGCTAAACTGAAGAATGCAAAAGCGGTTAACTGAAGATACAAAAGCAAACAACAAACAGTTTAATGCAATTTATACTATATAATACAATTTTGGGGGCCCTAAAAAATATTTTGAATGAAAAACTATATAATAGTTTTTCATTCAAAATATTTTTTAGGGCCCCCAAAATTGATTCAGCCTAGGGCCCCCGAGAGTGCAAATCTGGCCCTGAATGTTAATGCCACATTTAATAACAGATCAGAGCGACTACCAAAATTATTTTAGAGAAAACTATTGATCTGCTTTTTACAGCCAGTAAAAACCAAGCCCAAGTAAGTGAAACACTTGTTAATAGTGTAGTTACAGCCTATTAACCGATTGTTACAGCTGCAACAATTTATGTGCAGTGCATCTTCTGTGCTTTGACTTTATATGGTCCAAGTGGAGATTTTTAATTGGAGATTAGATTATTTAGTTGGAGCTCAAAAGTTTGCGGCAAGAAAAAAAACAACCTTTGTGCACTAACTAAAAAAATAAAAAAATTTCTACACTGAGACAAACCTGGTTTCTTAATCTTAGCGGAATCCACTCTACCTCGCTAACATTTACTAGTTGCCAGAAAATTATATTTTAAAATAATATTTTTGCATGTATATATTGGAAAGAATAGCTATTTAAAATTGGGATTATGTTTAGGATAGCGATGTTAATTTATACAATTTTACACTATTTGGGTGAAAAAAAAATCATTAAACAGAATAAAAAGTACTAATTAATTAGCTCAGAAAATTACAGACATAAATATATTTAAAATTGTTTGAAAAATTTTTTAGGGGGAAGGGGTTACAAAATTGTTGTGCAATATTTAGGGGGGGGGGGAGGAGTCAATAAAAATGTTACAATGTGTTATGAGGGGGAAAAAGTGGGTCAAAAACTATGTGAGGTAATTTATTGACAACCCTTAACTAATATTTACAAAAAAACTGGTAGATATGACATTACATTTAAGCACTGAAAAATGTATAGAACAAAAATTATTATTTCTAATTAATGTTTTTGTAGAAAATGGTTATATTAAAACAAACCTAGAAAGCATAATGAAAACCATTAATAAAAATTTACATAATAAAAACAGTATAATGAAACTCAAATTTTATCTGGATTATATAAAAATATTAGTTACACACCAGTTTTTAAATCACTAAAAAATTTTTGGACATACTTACCACAAAAAATAAAACCCTTATTCTACTAATTCTTATTTAAATGTATATAAACTTATATGCTCCTGCAAAAACATGCTACAATGGCAAAACAAGAGATCTCTTCATGTATTTGGAGAGAAATACACATGAAGAAAAATAAAGTTCAGCTATAGCAGAATATTCAAAGAAACACCATGGTATTATTTCATGGAATAATAATAACACTCTCAAAGTAGTTAATGACTTCAACAGAAAAATAAGAGAGACATTTGTGATAATCATAAAAGTATGCCTTCAGACACTATTTTTTTTATATTATACTTAACAAGGGTAACAAAAGGTAACAAGGGCATCCATACTCTTATAAAAAATTGTAAAAAATAATTTTCTAATAGAGTTTAATCTATTTAAGAAGTTTTTGAACTTTATTAATAAACTCTTTATAATAAACTCTTTAATAAATTTATGACTTAATATAAACATATGATTTATGGGATTCTATAACATTCAGGGGTCAAATTAAGTGATCGCGAATTTCAATATCCGGAAATACTTCTGGTCATTATATTCTTAGTTTATTAAAAATCGTGAACACTGTTTTAATAAAACGGTCATCCTTGATACAGCAGATCTGACTTTAGCTGCTTAAACTAAATAAAGATGAAACTGCATACTTATACGTTACCTGTATAGTCACTTGTAACACAGGAATGTCGAATATGACTTGTGATCATTTGAGGATTGTCCCAAAACATGGCTAAAGTATAAATTAAAAAATTGCTGAATTTTTATACACTCAAATGTTAAGAAATATGAATATTTATAATAATTGATTTATAATCATACCAATTAAACTTACCGGTCAAAAGCCTTCTGATGAAAACCTTTAAAACCACTTTTATTTTAAAAACTCTTCGGAATCACCAGAGTTCGAATAATAAAAAACCAAGATGACAAACAGAAAAAGTGTCAAAAAAACAAGCCCTATTGTCATATGATAAAATCCTAACCCAAAACGGCAGCATGAACTGTATATAAAATGTGACTTCAAGAAAACTCCAAAAAAAAGTATTATGTCTCTGCTATGCTAGCTTGAATATATAATGCAGGCTTGGGCAGAAATGGTGTGCGATGGAACGCTATTCCTGACCACGCAAATGATTTTTGTTGTTGACTACTTGACCATGACTTTTTTTGTTGACTTGACCATGATGTTTTAATGATTTAAACATTTCAGAAATGCACTGGAAAAAAAAGCGCTAAGCTAAACTTAAACTAGGAAAAAAAATAAAAACACTAAAGAAAACAATTTCTTAAAAAAAAAGAAAATATATAAACTTTAAAATAAAATTTAAAGCAGAACTACTTTTTGTTAAATTTTTAATTGCTTTTGAAATAGATTACTTTAAAACTTTTGTTTTAAAAAGTTATGCAAAACACTTTAACAAATATTTTTAATGATTGTTTAATAAATGAAAAAATTTTATTTAAATTAGTGAAAAGTAAAATTAAACCATTTAAAAGAAAAAATATATATTAATTTAAAATTGTATAATTATTTTTTTAAAAAGTTGCAAAAAAAATTTTTTTTAAAAATAACGTAGTCTTAAAAACAATAGTTTTTATTTGCTTCATGCTCTGATTAGTAATCAAGTTAAAAAAAAAGCTATTAAAAAACTCTTTGTAAAAATAGAAACAAAAAAAAATAAAGTAATTCAACTCAAGTTATTATTAATACTATAAAGTTAATTCAACTTACTTATAATTTAAAGTAACATATAAATATAATTTTTAAGATTCAATTAAACTTTTAAAACTAATAAATAATTTTAAAGTTTAATTGTATCTTAAAAATTCATGCCTATTAATGAAAAATTTAAATAAAAGATTTAATTTACAAAAAAAAATTTAAACGATTGTTGTGATTAATTTTTTTTTATAGCCTTCACATAAAATGAAAACTTAAAAAAAGATCAATTTTTTTATTGCATTTAAATTGTTAAAACATGAAAACAGCATAATACAAATTAAATTTGTTAGGAAAATGCTAATTTGGCAAAACTGTTGCATTGCATTTTGGATAGATTCAGCCAGATTTTACTATATTCAAACAATGATGAAATGGTATAAAGCTAACAAAGTTGAGATGGTGCTTTTGGAACATTGTACAATCATGAAATACTGTGCCATTATGAAGAAAACAGATGGATTTGTCAAAGACATCAAGACAGGCAATTTAAGTTTATTTATATGTGTATATGCATGCATATATGTATGTATATATATATATATATATATATATATATATATATATATATATATATATATATATATATATATATATATATATATATATATATATATATATATATATATACATATATATATATATATATATATATATATATATATATATATATATATATATATATATATATATATATATATAAAAGATATTAAAAGCTTTAATTAAATGTAAAAATTTTGAGTTAGAGAAATTAACTTAGCACCCAATTTTTAATATGATTATCATAAACTAAAAATTGGGTGCTAAGTTAATCATATAATATAGTATATGTATCTAAATAATAATAATAATAATCGACTAAAGGTTTGGTTTGGATTTTTTATTTTATTTATATCATTATTTCTCGTTTTTCTTTTCTTTTTCCAAACAACTATATGGAGTTGAGTCAGCAAAAAAAGTTGCCAAATGATCATATAAGTCTATGTAATAAGAAACTTTTAACAGCATTTAACTGCTAATGAATAAAGAAAAATATATATTTTTCTTTATTCATAAATTTACTCATTAGCAGTTAAATGCTGTTAAAAATTTCTCAAATTTATATATATAAATATAAGTAGTTATCGTACTGAAGAAATTCACTCAACACGTTTGTTGACGTTTTTTAACCAAGCACTATATTGATCATATTGTCTCTATCATAAGGAAAATATTAACAATCTGTAATCCTAAGACAACAGTATCACAAATAGACCCCCTCGCCGAGGGGTTGAATAGGGATCGAAATAAATATATTTTATATTTTATCTGGGATGCTAAGACAGGAATGAGAAAAAGGAAAAAGAAACAACCCCTCGCCGAGCGGTTAGAAGATTAAAATAGAGATGACAATAAAGTTGAAAAAACTTAAATAGAACTCAATATTGGAAATAAAAAATAAAAGAACCATTAATTGCACCTTGCAAATTTTTTTATTTGGAAAACATTATTTAAAATCGAGAATGTAATACTTTGATCAATTAAAATAAGTGGTTTACACCACTGAGTATACGTGTATTCAAAGGAAATGAGGTTGAAACGGAGAAGAAGTTCTGTACAGTAGAGATTAGTGGGGGTAAAGCGTTACCCTTTTATCCCTAATAGTAATAATAAATCATAATAATCCTAACAATTTTTCTGAAACTTCTTTCCTATATTTTAAGCTTGTTTTTAAAATATTTCTCAGCTGCCGTAAATTATACTATAAAATACTATTTTTGCTCTGTTTTGTATTATGCATTTGGAATTTTTTTTTTTTAAATTATATTTACTTTCATATATAATCAAGAAAGACGCCAATTTTTTCTTTTTCTTTTTTTTTTTTATGTGGTATTTTAGGTGCTCTAAGATGTCCTTACGTTATATCATCTTACGCGGTGCTCTGCGATAAGATTTCTTATTACAGAGCACCGCGGAAGAGCCAGACCTTGAATATCGCTGGTCAGACCTGGCAATATATATATTAAAGGTGCACCGTTGCATCGACCATTTACCTAACAGTCTTGGTAACTATAGGCCGATGCCGATTGTTTTAAAAAAACAGTTTTTTTTTATTTTTGTGTTTTTATATTGTTTGCAAAAATATGATTGATGCTTAAACAAAAACACATGAATAAAGTTATTATGTAGACATATCTCTAAGCCTCATTCTAAGTTACTGTTCAAACTGAATTGTTATGGTATTCAGTATGTATTGCTGAACTGTATTACCAATTTTTTTTACAAATCGTTTTCAATATTTCTGCGTCGGTAACTCGTATTCTAACAAAATTTTTGTAAAGAGCGGAATACTTCAAGGAACTGTTTTGGGACCAATCTTATTTTTAGTTTTTTTAAATGATGTAACATCATGTATTGATAGTGATTGCAGCATTAAGTTGTTTACTGATGACAGAAAGTTATATCAAGCAAGTAATGATGGAAACAACATAACCTTATCGATATCTTAAAGCAGTTTTCAGAATGGTTAAAAGTTTGGCCACTTAATATAGTAACAAAAAAATGTCTTCATCTACGGAAATAGTTCTCTACCATTAAATTCATACTCAATGAATATTGGTACACTTATTGAATCTATTAATTCATTTCAAGGTATTGATATAGTCGTATCTTCGGATATGAAGTTTTCTAATTACTGTTTTTTTATTGCAAGCAAGGCACATTCTCGTTCCTACTTACTTTTAAAATCCTTCATCAGTAACGATTTCAAGCTCCTGAACAAAGCCTATAAAATTTATGTTCGACCTATGATAAAATCTTGTACCTCTGTGTGGAATTCTCATCTTTTAAAAGATATAGGTTGGTTAGAAAAGGTTCAGAAATCTTTTACTAGAAGTGTCTGTGAAAGATGCAATATTCCTTATAAAGATTATTCTTCAAGACTTAACATCTTCAATCTAGAATCTCAAATTTTATCTCGTAATGATCTATAAAATTATACACAACCTTGTCAATCTACCTTTTTCTGAGTTTTTTACATTTGCTCTTTCTTACTATCCTACAAGATGTCATCTTCAAAAACTTAATTCATGTAAAAATAAATTAAATGTAAAAATGATACGCGAAGATTTTTCTACTCTAAAAGAATTATCAAGGTTTGAATTTCTCTACCTATTTATATTGTTTACTCGTCCATAAGTTTTGGTGTTACATAAGATTAATTTTGATATAACTTTTATCCTTTAATTATTTTTTATTTTTAAATGCAAATCAGAACTAATCTGCAACCACTAAATCTTTAAATACTTTTTGAACCGTTTTTTATCAGGAGCCAAGGCCGACGACACCAGGGGGGCACGTGACCCTCCACTTTTTTTCTATAGGACCTTTTTTTTTTTTTAAGAAAAATCTTGATATAGAGGACTTTTTCACAAACTGATGATTGTGCCTCCCCCCCCCTCCCCAACCTTTTTTAAAACCCGTTTTGTCGGCCCAGAATTTAGTGTCTTTTTATAATATAATAAAGCATTTATACGACTTATGGATCCAATATATACAAAGAGATAAGTTTAAAATCAAAAAATGTAAATGTAATTTAAAATATAAAAAAAAAAATTTTGTCAAATGTTTCTCTTCTTAATATTTTTATTTTGTAAAATTTACAAACTTCTTTGGACATTTATTTTTATCAAAAGATTTCTTTAAACAGTTTTTTTATCTATATCAAAAGTCTATTTTAATTTCTTTGAACATTTATTTTTATCAAAAGATTTTTTGACTTTGATTTTTATTATACTATTTTGATTTTTGATGAGCAATGCAACATTAAGCATATTTTAGCAAAAGACCAAGCATTAAAATTGACCGTTAACATTTTATTTTTAGAAAACTACTAATTTATTTATAAGTAAAAAAGAAAAGAATACAAAATTAAAATTTATGACCGATGCATCGGTATTGGCTAGTACCAATCGGCGTCGGCCAAATGTTAGTACCGGTGCACCCCTTAATATATACATATATATATATATATATATATATATATATATATATATATATATATATATATATATATATATATATATATACCCGAAAAAGTACTCCCTGTTTACAAACAAAAATTGAAAAACAACAGATGATAATAACATATAAATATTATTGTGCAACATTTAGTTATAAGTCTTTAAAAATTTGTTAACTTAGAATATAAAGAATCGAACTAAATTAAAAAATAAACAAAAGATTAAATATTGTGCAAATTTTTAACATAATTATTTTTAATGTGAAAATAATAATAATTATAACAAATTTATATATATATATATATATATATATATATATATATATATATATATATATATATATATATATATATATATATATATATATATACTGGATTTTAAAGTCTCCACCAAATTATTTTCAACCACGTTTAGTAGTTTTAGCAGAATTTGGTTTTACATAACTATTATTTATCCTGTGTGCGTTCTTTTGTGTTCTTTTTATTCTTTATTCTTGATTTTACTTTTGGTTTTTTAAGCCATTTTTTTTTTAATAAAGCAATCCAGTCACTTCTTTTTTTCATTAAATATTTTTCGGTTAGCTTATTTAAAGATTCTTGCACAGTTTTAGAGCCATCATTTTCCTCGTCTTCTTCGTCATCAACTGCATCCCAGGCTCTTTTATTTACGCTGTCAGTAATGTCTAAAATCATACTTTCGGTCAATAGTTGAATTAAATTGTCAACTTCAGCCGAATCTATGGAAAAACTTTTGGTCTGATTATTTGCCATTTTTTCAACACGAACATTGCTTTCTTTTGATTTATTAAAGTAAATTAGTTGAGTTTTTATTTCCACTAATGTTAAATTTTTAACAAAAGAAGTACGATCGTTTTTAATGCTGTTTGAAGTGTTTTCGGTGGTCTGTTTGTTGACAGTTATGATTTTGTTTTGGATATTATTATTGGTAACTACGTGTATAGTAGAATTTTCATTAGTCGTAACATTTTTGTAATTGGTACTACCGTTGCTACTGGTATATTTTGAAGCGGGAATTATTTTACAAAGTTTACAACCTGTATTTTTATTTTTGATTTTATTTACATGATCATCTTCCATATTTAATTCATTACAATTCATACCCTTATTACTCTCTTGAATATTATCCTCTTGAATATTATTACCCTCTTGAATATTACGCATTTTAACTTCAACATCTTTCAAGTTTGTTAAACTCTTCAAATGATTGATATGACGTCGTAGGTCTTTGATAATTAATTCCAAATAGCTTTTAACAATTTTCACGTTGATACTTTTGTTTTCGTTTCGAACGTTTCTTTTTAATACGAAGTCTTCATGTTCTTCTTTCAAATCGCGATATTTGAGTTCGTTTGAAAATTGATCTTTGTTATCGCTGTTTGACGTTCTTTTGCGAGTTTCGCTAAATGACTCTAATATATGAAAAAAGAAACAGTATATAAAAAGCTGTAATATATGACGAAAGAAATAATATATGTAAAACAATCTAATATATCAAAAAAAGACAAGCAGTAATTTACACTATTATAATAATGTAAAACAATAAAAATATTTAGATAATTAGCACTTAGCATTGACACTATCCATTTATTGATATGGATACACTTACGCATTGATCACACATATCACTCAAAAACAAATATAAACTGCCACCGCTTCCCGCGACAGTAGTTAAATAATCACAGAAAAGTCTAACTCATACCAAGGTTTGTTTCTTTTTATAATTCTCTTAATATTAAAAAGTACCTATTAAATTAATTTAAAAATCTTTTTTGTGTTTTTTAAAGAAAATGCTTTATTTTTTGAATTTAAAAACTGCTTTTTAGTTACATGGTTTGGTTAGTTCCTAACCGATATTAGCAACCCTGACAGATTACAAAACCAACTCTCCTAGGCTATGCATAGCCTAGACTACAAAAGAAACGCTATTGAACTATAAGTTCAAAAATAATAGCTTTTACCTAAGCAATTCATCAATAAAAAAAATAATATTTATCAATTAAAAAATAAAAAAGTGAACGAATTGATAATTTTACATATAAATGTCTAAATTGAATAAAATTCCCAATTTCTTTATTACTAAAACTAATTAATAATTGTTTTAGTAAAAGTTAGATAAATATTTTTTTGGTTTCAAAAATTCAGTTTTAATACTAGAAACAATGGTCTTATATTTATACTATATAAGTAATAAGGTTTCCATAAGTTAAACTCCAAGTAGACAAATGAATTTTTATTTTGAAGGTGCAACATATTTTAATTAATACAGCGGTTGTTTTGAATACCAGTGTTGAGTAAATGGAAGTATATAGCTGAGCAGTGTTGAGTACTGTTTTTTTCCGTTTAGTCATCTGCTAAGATCTTGTTGTTTTTTTACCCGCTTTCAAATTGGATAAACAGATAAATAAACTCATTCAATTCTTTCTTCATGGGCTAGCACAGTAAGACAAACGCACAAAATAAAAAAGCAGCCGCGACGCAGTGGTCGGCATCAAATCGCAAATCTCTTAGTTCCGGCTCAGAACCAGGGGGTTTGACATTCGATGCCGGCTCTTGCTTAATAAGCGACGTTGGTTATGTTGGTGGCGTGAACTAATGATTTTTAAAAACGATGTTTTAACACCGTTTAGTCTTCATGGAGCAAAAAATGGGAAGAAATAGTGCCTCGCCAGTTTAAAAGAATGTAATAATTAAGTTTTTAATTGGAAAAAATTGACCAATCGTTAAATAAAATTCAATATTAGATTTAAATGTTTATTTAAATACTTTATTATTGTTTAAAATATTAAGTTTATTAAGTTTGTATTTTACTTTTTTTGATTAATTTACCGTATGCTTTAATGACTACCGTATGCTTTAACGACTACCGTATGGTTTAAAAGACTACCGTATGATTTAATGACTACCGTATGCTTTAATGACTACCGTATGGTTTGATGGCTACCATATGCTTTAATGGCTACCGTATGCTTTAATGACTAAACTATGTTTTAATGACTACCGTATGCTTTAATGCATACCGTAGTCATTAAAGCATACGGTAGTCAAGAAATTTATGTCAAATCTTTAAGTCAAAACATCCACTTTGACTTATAAACGAGTCATAAAATATACAAAATAATTTTTCAACTTTGTAACGTTAATGTACCAATATAATGTAACGTTACGTATGCATTTGCGTATATACAACACTAAATAAAAAAAGTCATTCAAAAGTGGTACTTCAATTATTACGCGCCGTTGACTTATACGTGAGCATATCCAGTGTATTACTAAAACATTATTTATACTTTACTTACTTTAATTAATTTTTTTGTGAATAAAATAGTAACTTATTTCTTGAAGATTTATCAAGGTTTCTTAAAGATTTATCTATAGTTTCTTCAAGATTTATCAAATAGATTTTGTGAAACACTTTTTTTACCTACCCTTTTCTTTTCTGCTTTATTAATTGTAATTGGTCTCGAATTATAAAACATTAAAAGTGTTATTTAAACAGAAAAATAGAAGACTAGTCCTATTAAGTCAGCACTCTCTTTTGCGTCACTCATGTTCGAAGTCTGCACTCTCTTTTGCGTCACTCATGTTCAAAGTCAGCACTCTCTTTTGCGTCACTCATGTTCGAAGTCAGCACTCTCTTTCATGAATGTTTGTTGCGTAGATTCTTAGAAAACCCAAAACGTTGTAATGCTTATTCCTGTTTGGTTTCTTTTAAATAATATGAATTGGTTTGTTGTTTTTAAGTTATCTATTATGTATGTTTTATCTCACAGTATAGTAAAGGAGTTTTTGAATATCACTGATGTAATCACTGACGTAAAGTTGTTGTTACTGTTAGTCTAAAAGTTCGCCTTTATTCGAATAAAGCGGTACTTTTTGCTAAAATCGGTTGCAGCAAATTCGATGAAAAAAGTTGTTTTTACGTTAACAAACATTTTTCAAACCTGCGTTTTTCTTTTCAATCCCAATAACAGGCTCAACATCACCATATGAAGTTTGATCTATGTAAAAACCAAAATAATTTGAAGCTTTTAATATTATATACATATATTATCTTGTCTTCTTACTTTGTTTAAAAATTGATCGTGTTTAGCCTTTTAAAAATATTTTATTCAAAATATTGTTCTTAAATATTACCCAAAGTTACAAAATATTTTTATTGTAAACTCACCTGATTGTATATTTGAAAAAAATAAGGTAAAACATAAAACAGGCCAACACCGAATCGCCATCAGTAAATTAATGTTTTTAATGTTGATTAGTAATTTTTACATCGCATAGTTTTTTGGACCACATATTCGTGTTGTAAATTAGAAAGCATCTGTATATATAATCAAACCTACAATATATCTTGAATTTATTTGGAACATAAAAATATATTAAACGTCTATAAACTCACCAAGCATCTGTTAAATAATTCTTCAAGTAAAATAAATCTCTCGCATGTATTTTGTTAATCTCTGTGGACTATTTTATGAAAATAGAGTTTTGGAGCTGTTAAAGTGACAAAGGATGATTTTTTTTTTTATAAAACTTATAAAAGGCAATTTTTTTACAATTGAAAAAAAACTTAATGCGTTTTGCATTAATAATTTATTTTTTACAGGTACGGAATAAAAGAAAAAAATAAATATTTTACAGGAATAAAAGAAAAAATTGTGTTTTATTTTTATTTAAAACATATGCAGCAAAAATAAAAAAAAATTAACTACTGAAATGCAAAAAAGTTTTAGAAGTCGCTTATTTTTAAAGTTAGGTTCTTACAAGTTCTCACGAAATCAAGTTTCTTATTTTTTTTTATTTTTAACTTTAAAGTGTATGTTATGAAAACCATATAATATGTGTTTTTCAAAAAAATAAAAAAACTTAAAAAACACAAAAAAGAACACTATAAAGTTAATAATTAACACGTTAAATGAAATTTAAAATCTAAAAATTATCTAAGGTCATGTATATTATGCTGAAAAATATATTTGTTAACTCTATCCGTTCACAAAAATAGGGTAGGGGTGCGAACTTTCTGGTTTATTGTTGTTCTTTTTCCCAGGCTGGGGAAAAATTACGTTTGAGTTAAGTGAGTGTTGTTGCAGTTTTCTGTAAGTTATTGTGTTTTTTGTTTGTTAAAAACGCATTTTTTTTTCGTGATTTTTTTCAAAGCATTTTTATTTGACAAAGGCAGGAGTAGACTTACATTTGGAGTTTGAACAATGCTTGTATGTATCATTTAAGAACCATAAAAAAATTTTTGAGTAAGGATTCAAAATATATTTGGCATATTTTTGAATTTTATTATTCAATTTTAATATAATAAAAAACACATAAGTGAACACAAAAGTGTTCACAAACACATTTAGCAGTCGTGGCGCAGTGGTGGCGCACTTACCTCAGAAACAAAGGATCCGTGGTTCAAACCCCATCTCTGAGCAAGTTTTGCGACATCGGTTAGGAATGAGGCGTGAACTTCCAATTAAATGCTCATCCGCGGTGCTCTGTGATAAGATCTTAAAGACTTCTTGGGGCACCTAAATAAAATTCGAAAATAATAATAATAAGTTATTAAATTTTATCATTTTTTTTGAAATTTAAAAGGCAAACCTTAAGTTGCCTACAAATTCCAACTTCCTTTTTAGCCTTACAATTATTTTTGTATGATAACTAGAAGCATTATAAATAACTTACTGAAAAAATCAGGTGCCCGAACTTGCACCGTTGTCCTATGTTAAGCTACCATGTCATGTCCATGTCACTTAATGTTAATAGTTTGTTAATAATGCTTTAAAGTTAATAGTTTAAATTTCAGCACCAATAAAAATTAGTTTCTACATTTAATTATTATACTTACATAATGTCATTCAATATTTTGACTGATTTATATTTAAGTTAAACTTGTTGAAGATTTTTACTAACTTTGTAACTGATTGTGAACTCAAAAAAAAGCCCTGAAAGTATACAGTAAAATAAACATTAGTACTGCCTAATTATAAATATTGCATTTCGTTTTGGTTTGCTGATCAAAAAACACAAAGAAAAAGAATTTTATACTATTTATTAAAAAAAAAGGAACAGCAAATAAAAATTTAAAGAACGAGCTGCTGAAATAAATTATCAGACTGGAGGGCTGGGTCAGATCCAATGTTAATTTAAATAATCTAGAAGAATATCTCAGAAGATTTTAGTAAAATCAAACTTGTAAAAGACTTTATTCAAGGTTCATATAAAAAAAAGTCAAATGGCTTGATGAGGAGATTATATTAAAAAGATTGCTATCAGTTATGCAGTCAAGATTGTGGAGACTTTGGAAGAGCTGGGAAAATATGGGCGATCCAAAAAACGAAGAATTTCTTATTTCTCAAAACATGCAACTGAAGCTCTCGTCTTGGCAACAATAAATTGTGCAAAGTCCAATCCTGTTTTAAATGACTTTGTGTTTGTAATCAAAGAGTCTACAAAGCCTAAATCTATATGCCTAAGAAATCAGTTTAATTATGGAAGCTGATACCCCAATACTAATTGGCGACGTAACGATTTTAAAAAAAATGCCTGTCGGTAGCAACCAAACAATTTGTTAATTATGAAAGATTATTTATTAAAATTTTGAACTATGAAGATTTTATTGCTTATTGCATTTATTCATCAAAGTATTTTTCCTAAACGTTTAAAAGAGTTTTAAATGTTCATAAAGAATATAAAAAAAAAGCGGCATCCAATACCAGTAATTATTGTTCTCTCTATTCTTTCTATATTTTCTAAAATTTTAGAAAGAGCCTTCAGTAGGGTATACAATTGTTTTAATTACAATAACTTACTTCATAACAATCAGTTTCAGAAAAGGAAGTTCAACTGGACTTGCCATTATTCAATTTATACATAAAATCTCTGAGTCTTTTGAAAAATCTCAATATACACTAGGTGTTTTTATTGACCTATCAAAAGCTTTTGATACGGTTGATTGTCACATTTTAATCCAAAAAATTAAAGATTATGATTAAAACAATAGAACATTAAAATGGTTTGAAAGCGAAAACAACTTGTGTATAGTAAAGATGGTCAGCAAAGTGAACCCCTGAGCATAACTTGTGGTGTTCCACAAGGTTCTATTCTCGTTCTCCACAAGGTTCTATTCTCTATCTGAGATTAAGAAAGGAAGATATGACTGAGGTAACAGCATTTATGTCAAGGTGGTTTTTTCAGAAAACTATATATTTTTATTTTAGGAAAAATTACAAAGCTTTCATTGAACAAATTTACAATGTACACTATTCTTTGATTATTTATTTTAAAAAAGGTTTTCTCAAGCACAGATATTATTTTATTGTTTCAGATGATATGATGCATAGTGTATAAAGTTATTGATGTTGTCAGAAATGATATGAAAACAAAATCTACCTCAAATAAAAAATATTTCAGATGTGTGTGCAGGTCAATATAAGAATGATAAAAATATTTTAAATCTTTGTTTTCATTTTAAATATTTTGGTTTTTCTAAATGGAACTTCTTTTGCTAAATGGAAATTTTTTTGCAACAAGTCACAGTAAGTAACCGTGTGATGGGATAGGTGGTAAAGTCAAATGTTTAGCATTACTAGCAAGCTTGCAAAGAGATATGGGTAATTATATTTTATCTACACTAACAATGTACAAATTTTGCAATGAAAACATTGAAAGTTTACGTTTCATTTATATGTTGTCAAAAGATCTAACTTTGGTGAGAAATACTCTTAAGGAACAATTGGATACTGCAAATGTTATTCCTGGAACACGTAGTTACCATCAGTTTGTACCACTTGGCCATCAAAAGGTAAAAAATATGTATTTAAAATGCCTTTGTTATCTTTAAAAAACATACATAACTTTTATTGATAAACTTGAATAGATTTTTTTATTTGTGTGAAATCGTCAAAAATATTTTTGTTTTATTTTCGATTTACAATTTTCTTTTAATGCCTTTAATAAAATATGTTTCACAAAATAAGTAAAAGCTATGCAGTGTTGATGAATACTTTGCTTTCATTCGTGACTTTAATTATGCCTGTGTTTCTGGTGGATAGGAGTCATTGAAGACATTAGTCTAGAAGAAAAAGATGTGCTTGTCAAATTTATGTCTACAAATGGTCCTCTGAATGGCCGTTTAAATGGCCACTAGTGGATTGCCAATGCTGGATTCCAGATGTCCACATCGTTTTTTGTACAATTTATAAATAATGTGAATGAAAAGTATATAAAATCACTAAAATTGAGTATTTATTTTTTAAAAGGTTTTTTTTATACCTTACAACTTTGTTGTAAAAAATTAATAAAAGTAATAAAGTTACAAAACTGTTAACTTCTAATTGGAATAATTTGTAAAAAGTTGGGATAGGTTGTCTGATTTTTAAAATACCACAAACTTTTATGTTTATATCAAACCTCAATAACTCTTCAAGTAAACGTAAAGCCAAAAAAAAATGGTTCGTACTTATCTTTTGAAAAATAAGAATTTTTTTTTTTTCTATCAGTCAGATTTTTTTTATAGTTACAATTGTACTTTTTTATTGTCATTATTAAGTACATTTTATGAACCTTAAAAATAAACTATATTGCCTTGTTTCGAGAGATACAAAACTAAAGATTTCGGATATAGCAGGTTTTAAACTCTTTTGGTATCAAGTTTTAGCTTACTAAAGGCACCGTATAAAGGTAATAGTAAAAGGAAACATTTTTGGCGATCCCCCCCCCTCATTTTTTAGTCAAATCAAACAAACTTCAAGTTGCGGTAAATTCTAAATGGATAAGAATTTTATAAAAAGTATTTACAGTCTTTCCTTAGTTATGTCTCTAAACATTGGTGCCAAATTTCAAAAAATCTGGTGATGTTGGGTAATTGGTGCTTTTTTACTCGATATCAACGGTTTTAATATTTTAAATATTAATATTTAAAATATTAAAAATATTTTAAATAATAATATTTAAAATATTAAAACCGAGATTACTGAAAAATATTGAAAATCATCAAAATTCGCGCTTTTTATTTTTTATGTATTTGTATTAGAGAAATTTGTGAAAATGGATTTTTTTGAGACACTTTATGCTGAGGACTCTCCTTTAATCAAAAACGTTTCAACTCTTTTCTCACTCAATAAAAAAGCGCCTAATTTTGATTAAAACTGAGATTACTGAATTATATTAAAAAATTGTTTTAATATAATTCAGTAATCTCAGTTTTAATATTTTTCACTTTCATTTTCTCTTTATTCCGAGACCGAGATTCTGAGATTGAAAAATGACCAAGATTTTCAAGACGAGCGAGATCTGATTGTTTGTTTTTTTATTGTACACAAGTTGTGTACAATAAAAAAACAATTTTGAAAGTCAATACTTGAACATCTTTCAATGAAGACTTTAAATTTGTTAGAATTGGATATGTAAGAAATATAAGAGAACAAATTAATGCAACTAATTAATTCAACGGCGAAAAATAAGGGTTCTTATTAAGGGCACATTT